CACAAGCTTTTTAAAGATGGATAAAATGCTGCAAATAATAAGTCCACTGCTGCTGAACCACTGCTGAAATAACAGTAAATCTGAAATGTATGTTCTGTGAGTGCCATCTAATGGTGGGAGGCTCTTTAATTTACGCGCCAAAGGACATGCCAAGTCACAGAAGGTCTGGGCCAATTTAATACACTATAAAAGGTTTAAACTTGGTAAAGGGTATATCCTACAGACTCTAATTAAAATCTCCTCTTTATATTCCAGTGAAATAAGCATGAATCACCAGAATTAAAGGGAATGGCTCTGCCCTCTTTACGATAATTGGCACAGCTGATCAGTGTCACAAAAGGATGTTAAATCACCTTATAGCTCTCTCTTAATGAAAGATTAATTCAATCCTCTTCCTTGTCTCACTCATTCACATCTTTGAGGTCACCAGTCCTCATAAATCAAAACCTCTCCTCAGTTTTTTCTCTGGCCCGTCAATGCGTCAGCTTAATTCTCTTTCTTTTCATGCATAAAGGACAGATTTGTCCACTGTAGACTTCCTTCTGACAAACCTCTTCTCCCATAATGTCCTGACAGGAACCTATGATTGATGACACATTTAATGACTAAGCAACAGAGGGATTTACTGTCCTATAAATGTTTCATTAAAATGCATTACACCTGTGCAAGAGTGGCTCTTTCAAAGAAATGAATCCTGGCTCTGAAATAAAAACTGAAATTAATCAACGTGTGACATTTACCTAAAGGGAAATCCCATGAGTATACATATAAATCTGCAGTACTTTTTATCCTCATGTAGTAGTATGTTAATGCTGTAGTAAGTATATATAGAGATGCTCTATATTGCTTGTCAAATAATAGCTTATTAATCTCACTATATTAACTTCACATTTTCTCTGCTACATTCACAAGACACTATTCTTTTCTGCATTCTGTGAAACTGTTTCGAATTAAGAAAAGTGCTTAGGCCACATTTGAATAGAATGGAATAAAACAAAATAGAACAGAACAGAATATAAAAGCACTCAGGGGTTATGATTTTTCTGCATTTTTAAGTGTAAGTTAGTGTAGTGGGTGGGAAAAGGGGAGAAAACAACCAATAAAACACAGACCTACAACAAACTCATTTTAGAGTAATGAATATTAAAATATGAGTATAGGGAATAGGTTAGGGGCCAACTTGATATGTTTTAAAAATATAACCCAATGATAACAAACTCAAGAAATCTTTTTTGCGGCAGCCATATCACCCTGTAGCCCAAGACTGGTTACCCACTGAAGCTAAGCAGGGCTGAGCCTGGTTAGTACCTGGGTGGGAGACCTCCTAGGAAAACTAGGTTGCTGCTGGAAGAGGTGTTAGTGAGGCCAGCAGGGGGTGCTCACCCTGTGGTCTGTGTGGGTCCTAACGCCCCAGTATAGTGACGGGGATACTATACTGTCAATAAGCACCGTCCTTTGGATGAGACGTTAAACCGAGGTCCTGACTCTCTGTGGTCATTAAAAATCCCAGGATGTCTTTCGAAAAGAGATCTGATCATCATGGCCTCCTAACAATCCCCATATCTACTGATTGGCTTCATCACTCTGTCTCCTCTCCACTAATAAGCTGGTGTGTGGTGGGCGTTCTGGTGCACTATGGCTGCCGTCGCATCATCCAGGTGGATGCTGCACACTGGTGGTGGATGAGGAGATACCCCCTGACAATGTAAAGTGCTTTGAGTGCCTAGAAAAGCACTATATAAATGTAATGAATAATTATCATTAGAGACTACTAACAACTATCATGAACAAATAAAATACGTTTAGATAAATGATTCCTTGAAATTTAAACAAATCAGCATTATAACTTTGGAGAGCTATATATGAAAAATAAAGAAGAACATTTAAAAGGTCTATTAATATTTACATTATGTTTACCAGCATTACAGTCTCCGAACAAAAAACACACATCATTTTAACACAGAAAGAATAAAGGCATAGTTACATTTTTGTCCACCCTTCTTTGAATTTTTCGTCTGTATCATTGTTTGCTGAGCATCACAATAATCTGTCATGTCATCACTTTCATGATCAGACGTACTGCTGTATCAGTGTCCTTATTTGCACATATTTCATTTGAAGAAGACATGATGAAATATGTGTGCACACGCGGTGCTGGATCCTGTTTGGAGCACGAGAAATATGAAATACATTGGAGATCAAAAGTAGAGAACAGCCTATAATTTCCTAAATTTCAGTGGTCACTGCTTAGTCCTTTTTGAAGTATTCCTAACAGGAGTAGAAGGGCAGTTTTTAAGCATATTTAATAAATTAATTGTTTTCTGAAGCACAGTATAAAAAACGTAACCCTCTATGGGATATCGTCATTTATAAATGACGCTAAGAAAATTGCATTTAAAATACAATATTAATGTTCAAATGACATCCCCTTCAACCAGTAAAATTAAAATGTATTAGCCATGTGCTTCACATTTTTGGTAACTAAGTAGTAAAGGAGACATTAGCACATGTTAGGTCACATGCTCTCAAGACTCCAGAGTGAGCTCATTTTAGACTAGAAAATGCATATAAATTCAAGTTATAAAAAATATAATTGTACATCCAAATGTGTTTTCTAACGTTTTTTGTCATTGTTAATGCACTTTTATAAAAACAACAACTCAGAGACCAACAAATCTGAGCGTCATGCATAACTGACAAAGTCCTATTATGTGATGCATATTTTGTGTAGCTGGTACTATTGGCGGGCAGTATAATAGCCTTTATGCATGTGTTTTAGGTTAATTTTTATAAGATTTATGGAAGATGGAGAGACAGATCTGTACTTATTTCAGAAAGTATTGATTATAGTGATATGAGTGCATCTGAAAATCAGGTTGTAGTAATAAAACAAGTTGTTGAGGACCAAGGAGGATAGAAGCAATGAGGGTGAGGGCAGTGATGAAGAATAGGTTGTTGTGGAAGTCAGGCATTTGGGTACATTATTGTATGCCAGTTTGAAAGATGTGATCCATACAACAACCAGAGGTCAGGAAAGATGCCAATGTCTATTGGCATTATTATACTGACAGACAGCGATGCTCCAATGATGACTGCACAAGTCAACATCTACTTATGTGTGGTTTGTGTGGGGTACACTGAAAAAGAAGAGTCTTGTTTACTTTCACTTGTGCTTCAATAATTGATTGGAAATTCTAAGATGAAACACAATGTTAACGTTGTTTTAATGCTTTTGAAACAATAAGACATGGTTTTCAGGCAGTGAAATTGCATCCGAATTTGTGTCAAGTTTTAGACATTTTCACGCTCGAGTTCCAAATCAAATATAGCAGCACAAGAAAAAAAATGAAAGTTCATAAAGATTTTTTATGTTTTTTTTTTGTTTTTTTAAACAGTAAGACATTTTAACTTCTTTTCAGATTTTGTGTTTATTGTGTGTGAAGGTCTAATGTGTAGCAAGGTTTTTTGTTATGTTATGGTTTGCTTGTTTAGTTTTTAGAATAAATAAAAAGAAAACAAGTAGAAAGAATAGAAAGAGAATAGAGAATGCTAGTGTTAGAGGCTCATTTTGAAATAAAAATAAAAACATGTCAATAGAACAGAAAAAGAATAGATAATGCTTGTGTTAGAAGGTCATTATTTATAATAAATAAAAAGAAAATAAGTAGAAAAAATAGAGAAAGAATAGAGAATTCTAGTGTTAAATGCTCTTTTCTTTTTAAATTAAACAAGTAGTTAGAATAGAAATAGAATAGAGAGGGCTAGAGTTAGAGGGTCAAATAAAGATGAAAGAGATGTATTTTCAGCCGTTTCTTGAAAATTATTAAGGACTCTGCTGCTTGGATTGAGTTGGGCAGGTCATTCCACCACGGGGGAACAATTAATGAAAAAGTCCATGAAAGTTTTATCACAGGTTGAATGCAAAATGTTTCAATATCATGACCCTTTCAGTCATTGCAAAGGAAGTTGGTCGTTCCAAGTCTGTGATTTCTCAAATATTGCAGCTTTACAATGACACTAATACATTCAAGTCCCCCAAAAAGGTGAGTTATCCACATAAGACAAATGCACGAGAAGACAGGATAAAATTTAAATTTTTTAAATATAATTCAAACATATGTAGTAAAATGTATTAAAAACACATTTCTGTATGTGGCATTTCAGACATGAATTATAAATACAGTGGGGCAAAAAAGTATTTAGTCAGCCACCAATTGTGCAAGTTCTCCCACTTAAAAAGATGAGAGAGGCCTGTAATTTTCATCATAGGTATACCTCAACTATGAGAGACAAAATGAGAAAAAAAAATCCAGAAAATCACATTGTAGGATTTTTAAAGAATTAATTGGTAAATTCCTCGGTAAAATAAGTATTTGGTCACCTACAAACAAGCAAGAGTTCTGGCTCTCACAGACCTGTAACTTCTTATTTAAGAGGCTCCTCTGTCCTCCACATATTAAATAAACTATTTAAAAACAGCATTTAAAAATTATTTGAATGTTATGAATATAGATTATAGTCTTAAATGTTTCTTAAAATTGCCTAAATAAAATAAATTATAAAACAAATAATTCACTGTAATATTAAACAATATTTTATGCAATAATTTTATTCCCATATTTTCTATGACCATTTCTTGAACATTTCTGCGTACGCCTGCATGTTTTATTATGAGGGAAAAATGAACTTTTATTATGAAAAATAAAAGGCGCTTCCTGGTGACCTCACGCAGCGTCACTAACCTGCCAAATTGTTTTTCTGTATTGTGCGCTGCTCTGACACAGACAACTGATTATGAGAAGCTGAAGTTACAGAGAGCATCAAGAACAAGTGTATTTCAAGTACACTGGAGTGAGTTTGAATGAGTTAAACCTGTAGTTCTGTTTATGCAAGACAAGCATGAACCATGTTGTTGTTGTTGTTGTTGTCTGATCATCTCTCGGTCTGTTCTAACAGCATGTCAGACCCTAAAAGAGCTGGAGCCGATGCTGGATCAGTGGTGTCAGACCCTCAACACTCCCAAAAGCTTCTAAGGGTCCTTCAGTCTTTCAGACAAGAGGATTGTTTTCAAGATGCCGTGCTGGTTTTGGAAGGTGAACAGATTCCTGTTCAGAAAAACATTCTGGCTGCTGCTAGTCCATACATCAGGTATGAGAATAAGCTTGAAAATGGGTTACATTTGCATGAAACGAGATCAGCTCAGTAGAGCTGGTATGTTTGCTCAGACATGTAGCAGACCCTTGAGCAATGTGTCATATGGGTGTGCCAAACAGCCCCACCTTGCCTGTTGCTTGGGTCAATTAAAGGAATAGTTCACCAAAAAAAAAATTGGAAAGTCATTTACACACCTTCATGTGACCTACTGTAAAAAGAAAAAAAGGAAACCAAAACGACTGCGTTTATGGATGCTCTAATATTCAATTAATAAACGAAAAATAAATCCACTAAAAAAGGCCATTACTTAAAATAAAATAAAACATAAGGATAACATTTTTTATTTATTTTAGCTACATACAACATTAGCTACAACATTTCTTATTTTTGTTTAGTTTAAGTACTAAAATAACCAAAAAGTAAAACTTAATTTTAAAAAAAATATAGACATTAAAAATTATTTTAAAAAATGAATACAAATGATAAAACACGCAACAAAATTACTAAAACTTTAACCAAAGTTAAAATGGAAACAGAAAATATAAAACTAAAATCTAATTCAAAATATGAACAAAAACACTTCTACGAATTGTGAGATTTACGAACAATTTGATTCATGGACTATTCATTAGAAGCAAATCTTTTCAAAGAAAGAATTGCTGCAATTTGCAATACTCTTTCAAATCCCTGAATCGCTTTTCAAATTTAATTCACTGATTCATTTATCTGGGTTCTCAACTGTTATTCACAGACGTTCACTGAGAACTCGATGATTCCACAGATCTCATATCTCTTTCATGCTTAATATTCAAGTTTTCACAATAAGCAACAGCAAACAGAAAACACTGGTATTTTGGCGTCATTGATATCTAGTGTGGCATGTCTTCACACATCATAATCCAAGTCCACTTGATTGAATCACTGCAATGAAAGAGGCGTATGAGCTGGAAACATTGTATCAAGGCACTTTTGCATTATTGGTTCAACTGCTTATAGAGAAAAGTCCAGCATTTTTGGTCGGTTCAAGATTCTGTTGCAAAATTTTAAAAAAAAAAAGAAAGAAAGAAATGGTGTGCAGTACTCTAAACTAAAAACCTGATCACCAAACAGATCCTTGCACATCTTAAATCAGCTGAAACTGAAAATCCCAAATTTGTAGAACCTTTGCCGTGCATTTTATATAACAATTCTCCATGATATTAGGTCAATTCTTTTATTAGCTCCACAGTGAATGCAAACTCATGTTATTCATGTTTCCAGGACCAAATTAAATTACAACCCACCAAAGGAGGATGGATCTGTATACAAAATCGAGTTGCAAGGAATCTCTGTCACGACCATGAGGCAGATTTTGGAGTACATTTTCAGTGGGGAGGTAATTATATTACTAACAAATACTACATAGATGTTTCCCTCAGTTATGGAAAACCTTGACTTTTACAATTTAGGTTTTCAAGCCCAGAAAAGTAATGGAATTATAAAATATTTATCAATAAATTTAAAAATAAAATATTTAGTTGCAGATTTCTTTCTGTGAGTGCAGTCTGTATAAAAAGTCATTATCCATTACAATTAATTCCATTTTATTCATTTATAATTACAAACAGTTGGAAAGATTATGGAAAAGTAATAGAAATGAATTGGTCAAAATGTGTGGGAAAACTAGATATGAATTATGAATGTATGTCACAAACTATTGGGTTGCCATTGTCATAATTACAATGCTTTTATAGTTGACTGTTTGTAGAGTGGGCCAAGCAAAACTATTCTCTTTGGCGCTCTGGTTTCTAGATTACCCTGAGTGAAGACACCATCCAGGATGTGGTTCAGGCTGCTGATCTTCTGCTCCTCACTGATCTCAAATCCCTGTGCTGTCAGTTCCTGGAGAGCTGCATCACTGCAGAGAACTGCATCGGTATTCGGGTCTTCTCTTTGCATTACTGCCTGCACCACGTCTACCATGTGGCCACCGAGTACCTGCAGACTCATTTTCGTGATGTGGCCAATACAGAGGAGTTCCTGGAGCAGCTGCCCGATCGCCTGTGTGAGCTCCTGTCCATGGAGAAGCTCAACGTAGGGAATGAAAAGCACGTTCTGGAGGCAGTGGTCCGCTGGATCGCCCATGACATTGAAGCTCGGAGAGTGAGTGAAACAAATGTTTCTCAAGGGTTCCATATGCACAGCCATAGAAAACCATCAAACATAAACAGTTTTTAACAATTTAATTCAATTTGTAATGCAGTTATTTAATCTGAGGTAATATTGTTAATCAAAACAAACCATTAAACCAAAACATTTTAGTTGCTTGAAATAAAATAAACGTTGACTGAAAGTAAAATAAAATGCAAAAAAAAAGGTAAACTTTAATTTCAGCTAGTCTCATATTTTGTTAAAGTTTGTTTAACTTGAAGTACTAAAATAACTCAAGCTAAACTAAAACAAATAAACAAAAATGACTAAAAACTATATGTATAATTTAAAAAATATATATATAAAAAATTTATGTTAAAACAGAATATATATATATCAATCTAATTCAAAATATTAGCAAAAATTATAATAGTAAATATTCAAATTAAATAAATACTGCTGCTCAAAAGTTAGGGGTCAGTAAGATTTTTTAAATGTTACAAAAAGTATCTTATGCTTACCAAAGCTGCATTTATTTGATCAAAAAGACAGTAAAAACAGTAATATTGTACAGTATTTTTACAATTAAAAATAAATTTTTGAAGAATAGAATGTTCGAAAGAACATTTATTTGAAAAAACAAAATCTTTCATTTCTTTCAAACCAAAACTTACTGACTTAATTATTTATTAATATTTATTTGAGCTGATATTTACATCAGTCCTTTTTAAATAGGATACCTTTCTTCCAGGTCCATATGAAAGAGGTGATGTCTGCCGTGTGGGTTCAAGGCCTGGACCAGAGTTACCTCCAGGAGCAGATGCTCGGAGACTCCCTGATGAGGGAGGTGATACGGAATTGTTGTATTGAGTCGCTAGGAGGAGCAATGCAGCATGGGGAGGCGCTGCTCGCTGCTTTTAAACCCCGCGGCTACTCTGAGTGTATCGTCACTGTAGGGGGTGAGGAGAGGACGTGAGTATAAGCATGCATAACATAAAACTAACTAGATTATGCAAGATTCGATTTTACTGTGTTTTTTTAATATTGCCTTTATAAAAAACATCACAATAATCCACAAGTAATGTAGGTAATGTGCAGGCTGCATGTTTGTAATAAACAAGTCCATCATTTAGACATTTTTAATGTGAAACCGTTGCCTCAGGCTAAAATTTGAGTCCTCTATCCATAATATTGCTTTCTCCGGTGAAAAAGTGGTCCTGTCTGAATCAGGACAGAAATATGCACAGATTAATCACCGTTTAAAGATAGAACACCTTAAATTTTGTGTAAGGGTCTGTATTTTTATATAACATCGGAAAAATCTGTCCGTGTGCCCTTGCAATTTGTTTCATAACATTTTAACTTTAAAAATTGGTGATGTAAGTTTATTACATTTAGGTAACCAGGTTTCCACAGAATAGGTGTGAAAGAGGTTACATTATTATTTGATAATGGAACAGCAGAAACATCATTCAGCATAACTTGGCCCCATGCATTCAAACCACAAATACTGGATGCTCAAAGCGGTATGCTCTTTGTAGGTGTGAATTTAGAGAATGCTTTTTCACATCCTGCCTATGACGCAGAGAAATGTCAAAAGTTAAACAGATTACATTTTAAGGCAAAGGCAGCACATCTTCATAAGGCTCTAACAGCTATGAGAACTGAGACACACCCTGCGATCTGTGATGCTTTACAAATGTGTCTTTTGAATAATAGTAGTCAAGGGACCTATCAGTCTAACCCATGTAACTGGAAACAATTGATCACCATCTGGAGGAACATAAATAGTCATTTTTCTTAGTGTTCTTGTCTTGTATGAAGTATAGTTTTGTCCATAGCTCTGTTACACAATCTAATGAGCTGCCTGGCTGCCTTCATCCTAACTGCCATGAAACCTCCTGAAACTGATTTGGGACACACTGCATCAGTGCTAACTACTGACGCAACAGAAATAGCACTTTCCACAAAAGACTTGACTCCTTACAATTGGTTCAAGACCTTAAGGTGATGATACACACGGGGCAACTTTTTGAGCAATGTTGCTGGACAATGTTGCCATCAACAGGCAACCAGGTGAGACACCGGGCCCACGAAAAAGTATCAGGATAGAAATTTGTTGCCCATTCTCAATGGGAAAGTGCCTAAGTAACATCACTCTGCAACATTGCCCAGCCACATTGCTCAAAAAGTTGCCCCGTGCATCATCACCTTTAGTCAAGGTAGTGCCATATTTAATGTGAGGAAGAGAAGTACAATGCGTTCATTAGATTGTTCAGCTGACAAATAATCTTTCTGATAAAAAACTTTCAATAGGCAAAAACTCCATAAAAGAGTTTTGAATATATATATATATATAGAGAGAGAGAGAGAGATACATTTACAATGTTAGAAAAATATATGTATTTAAAATAAAAACTTTTAGAATTTTCTATTCATCAACATATTAGGTGTGAATGATTTCTGAATGATCATGTGACACTGAAAACTGGAGTAATGGCTTCGGAAAATTTTGCTTTGCCATCTCAGGAATAAATTACATTTTATAACATTCGAATAGAAAACAGTTATTTTCAATTGAAATTATATTTCACATTATTAGTGTTTTTATTGTATTTTTGACCAAATAAATGCAGCCTTGGTGATCATACTTGAAAGATACTTCTTTCAAAACCGTTAAAAATCCTACAGACCCCAAACATTTGTTTTTATAAACATTTACTATATAAAACTCTTTGTACCATTTTCAGTACTTTTATATCATTTGCTGTACATTTATGATGAACTTTTATAAATAATAAAATATTCATAGAGATGGGAAAAAAACAACTGGTGCAATGTAGTAGGTATGTTTTATGTATGTTTGCTAGGTATTAGTTTGATATCAAAATGATTAAATGAAGAGTTTCTCTGTCTGAAGTCTAAATTGACAAGTATTCTGTGTTGTCAACTATTTGTGCACTATTCCTTGATGGGAACGCGGCTGAGTTGTTTTCCTCAGGTTTGGCGCGGTAGCATGTGGGATTGGACAAGAGCTCTATGTATTTGGTGGTGTGAGGAACAGAGACGCTGACAACCCAGAGTCCAGTCAGATGACCATCTGCAAGTCTGAGTTCTTCCACGATGAACTAAAAAGGTCAGCTCTTCAAAGCAACACTCGTACAGAGCAATACTAGAGTGATGTGTATGTTCATGCATGTCTTTCTTTTCTCACAGGTGGGTGCTTTTAGATGACCAGAACCTCTGCATACAGGCCACATCGTCTTTTGTTTATGGAGCTGTTCCCATTGGTGCCAGTATATATGTGGTTGGAGAACTTGACACTGGTAAGCTGATAAGGTCTTATAATCGTACTTTATCCTCTGTCTAGGAACGTCTTTTTATACGTATATCTTCAAATTCTGTCCATGAGAAGGTCAGAAAATTCTGTGCTATGATAACTTATACATTCAAGATACAACTAGTGCATATTTTAACTTTTTTTACATTTTGAGAACCCAAGCATCAGCTACTTTAAAAATGTTACAAGCCACTAATGAATTAGTAGTTAATATCAAGCTACAATTTTTATTAAATAGTTAACTATATTAACTACAAAACTACATTAAAGTATATATTTTAAGATATATTTTATATAATATTAGGTATAATAGAATATATATATAATATATATTTTGAAGGCTTATTATAGTCAACTAAAACAATAAAAAAAGTTGTTACTTAAAAAATAATGTTAACTGAAATAATAAAATATTAAGAAAAATATTTAATTTCAGATCGTTTCTAAGGAAAGCTCATGTACTAAAACAAACAAAAGTTAACCAACTTTATAGATTTTTTTTATAGACTTTATAGATCACAACAAAACTGCTAAAAATAGCTTAAATTAAATGGAAAATGGAAATCTAAAAATAAAAACGAATTCAAAATACTTATAAAAGCTAAATTAATACAATGATATTAAAATAACACTACTTTTTAATTATGTATCAGTACAATCAGGATAGTATTTATCTCTCAAAATCGATGATAATCTCAATTAGGGTGTTTAAATACAGCACTTTCACGCGTATACAACTAATTACATTTACAATGTTAGAAAAATATATGTATTTAAAATAAAAACTTTTAGAATTTTCTATTCATCAACATATTAGGTGTGAATGATTTCTGAATGATCATGTGACACTGAAAACTGGAGTAATGGCTTCGGAAAATTTAGCTTTGCCATCTCAGGAATAAATTACATTTTATAACATTCGAATAGAAAACAGTTATTTTCAATTGAAATTATATTTCACATTATTAGTGTTTTTATTGTATTTTTTACCAAATAAATGCAGCCTTGGTGATCATACTTGAAAGATACTTCTTTCAAAACCGTTAAAAATCCTACAGACCCCAAACATTTGTTTTTATAAACATTTACTATATAAAACTCTTTGTACCATTTTCAGTACTTTTATATCATTTGCTGTACATTTATGATGAACTTTTATAAATAATAAAATATTCATAGAGATGGGAAAAAAACAACTGGTGCAATGTAGTAGGTATGTTTTATGTATGTTTGCTAGGTATTAGTTTGATATCAAAATGATTAAATGAAGAGTTTCTCTGTCTGAAGTCTAAATTGACAAGTATTCTGTGTTGTCAACTATTTGTGCACTATTCCTTGATGGGAACGCGGCTGAGTTGTTTTCCTCAGGTTTGGCGCGGTAGCATGTGGGATTGGACAAGAGCTCTATGTATTTGGTGGTGTGAGGAACAGAGACGCTGACAACCCAGAGTCCAGTCAGATGACCATCTGCAAGTCTGAGTTCTTCCACGATGAACTAAAAAGGTCAGCTCTTCAAAGCAACACTCGTACAGAGCAATACTAGAGTGATGTGTATGTTCATGCATGTCTTTCTTTTCTCACAGGTGGGTGCTTTTAGATGACCAGAACCTCTGCATACAGGCCACATCGTCTTTTGTTTATGGAGCTGTTCCCATTGGTGCCAGTATATATGTGGTTGGAGAACTTGACACTGGTAAGCTGATAAGGTCTTATAATCGTACTTTATCCTCTGTCTAGGAACGTCTTTTTATACGTATATCTTCAAATTCTGTCCATGAGAAGGTCAGAAAATTCTGTGCTATGATAACTTATACATTCAAGATACAACTAGTGCATATTTTAACTTTTTTTACATTTTGAGAACCCAAGCATCAGCTACTTTAAAAATGTTACAAGCCACTAATGAATTAGTAGTTAATATCAAGCTACAATTTTTATTAAATAGTTAACTATATTAACTACAAAACTACATTAAAGTATATATTTTAAGATATATTTTATATAATATTAGGTATAATAGAATATATATATAATATATATTTTGAAGGCTTATTATAGTCAACTAAAACAATAAAAAAAGTTGTTACTTAAAAAATAATGTTAACTGAAATAATAAAATATTAAGAAAAATATTTAATTTCAGATCGTTTCTAAGGAAAGCTCATGTACTAAAACAAACAAAAGTTAACCAACTTTATAGATTTTTTTTATAGACTTTATAGATCACAACAAAACTGCTAAAAATAGCTTAAATTAAATGGAAAATGGAAATCTAAAAATAAAAACGAATTCAAAATACTTATAAAAGCTAAATTAATACAATGATATTAAAATAACACTACTTTTTAATTATGTATCAGTACAATCAGGATAGTATTTATCTCTCAAAATCGATGATAATCTCAATTAGGGTGTTTAAATACAGCACTTTCACGCGTATACAACTAATTACTGTATATAATACACTTTTAAATTTAAACCATTAATGAATCAAAAACAATTATAAACAGCAGTATTTAAGCATTTCACTACAAAAATGCCACTAAAAAGGTTTGATTTCTGGAAATACTACTGAATGATGAGTTTAATGAATTGGTGAATTTTTTTTTGTGATCAGTTTATTGAAACGAGCTGTTTAAATTGAACAGATTTGCTAAGATGAGCCAGATGGCCATTTTGGAATAGTGTACACATAATACAACATGACAAATAATGTGTCTTCAAGCTGTTTGTGTAGAGCAGAGCATAAAATACTCACTGCATGATATACATTTCTTTATGTTTCCTCTGCAGGCACCAGTTTTGACTATGTGCGGGAGTTCCGCAGAAGCACGGGTACCTGGCACCCCACCAGACCCCTCATGCCCTCTGATCTGAGCAAGACGAGCTGTGCTGCCCTACGCATCGCTAACTGTAAGCTGTTCCGCCTGCAGCTCCATCAGGGACAGTTCCGTATCCGGGTTCAATCCACATAAACAACCCGCATCCTCACCGCTGGCTTTATGTCACTCCTCCATCGTCTGCTGGTTTGGAGGAGGATGCAGAGGATTGTGAGATCACACTGGCAACAGCAGAGGTTTGCTTATAATGTGGGAAAGCTTGAATGAATTGTCCTGTTTTTTATGTTTGATGTCTTTTCTTAGAGGATGAATTCTACATCTTTTTTGGTTCCTCTTTACATGATTCCCAGTCACAGGAAATGCCGTTACATTAGATGGGACCTGCTCACTATTTTCATGCTTTATATGAATAGTTTACAATAGATTGTACCTAGCTGTTGTTGCAGCTTGTTGTTTAACACTAACACTTTTGAACATTGGTGACGGAGGTGAAAATTGCCTATTTTATACCATTGTTCAGTCTTAAATGTGGGTTCAGTAAGTAAGGGAACAAATCAAATCAAGAACTAATCAGTGCTAGTGATATGTTCATATCAAACACAATTATGTTGCTAATGCAAGTGTCTGTCTAGCTACTGTAAAATCAAAGTTGAAATGATGTGTTAGAATATTGAAATGATTCTAAATCTCATTGCTCTTGAATTTTAAATCTCTCGTTACATATGTATATATTAAACATTTTAAATAAAATAATTATATATAAAATACACACAATACAAAATTTTTTTTTATTTTGTGTGTCTGTATCCAGGCAACTTATGCACTTAAAATAATAATTATATATATATATATATATATATATATATATATATATATATATATATAATTTTTTTTTATTATATATTTTTTATAAATATATATTTATATAATTATTATTTTAAGTGCATAAGTTGACTGGATGCCTTTTTTTTAAGTCCTTTTTATTAACAGTGCCCGGGAGAAATTTCAGCCTAGTTGAACTTTGCCAATAAGTACATTCTGCCTTATGAATTGTTAATATTTTTACTTTTGTTAAAAGTCCTGTGTCTGAAAATCTGTGTTTCATTTATGGAAAAAAAAAATGCTGTTAAAAGCCCAGCTGTGGGGATTGTTTGTATTGAATTTGGATACCTGTGGACCTGCTCTTGTTCTGAAAATGAACCTTATAGAATTAAGCAGTTTTGCTATTACATTTGTTTAACAGATGCAATTAAACATTTAATTAGTCTCAACAGTTAATCTTAGTAGCCTTAGTTAATAGCCAAATAATGTTTTCTGATCTCAAGTACATTATCAAAAATAACATGAGTTTACATTTTAGTTTTTACTAATCCATATGCATTGTATTGTCAAAGTTGAAACTGAAAATGGTGGATATTTGCATATTTCATGTGTGTGTGTCTCTCTGGCTGCGTGATGGTCTGCCTGTCTTAACTGATCACATTTTACTGTTGGTCTCGTATCCAGGGACTCAAAACACCACAGCATGTCAGAAATAGATGCAAGTTGCTGGTCTCACCCTTATGTGGCGAGATGTATTTTGTGAATGACCTCTGAACTGGCTTTCCTTTCAGTGTTGGATGGTTTTGGCATCTGGTGACCCCATTTGTTCTGTGCATGATTCAGCTGCTGCTGTCTGTTCTAATTGAAGGGACGAACATTGCATATTCACCACCATTGAAATGCAGTCCAATAGCAGGAATAAATACCACACTTTCACATACTAGACACTAACATTTGTCAAAAATGCATCTCAAGCTATGAGAATGCAAACAAAAAAATTACAGGACCAATTTGTGGTGTTTGTACCTACAGTCTATGGTTTGCACTTGTCACTAAATTAAAGATGTGCACTTACCAATGTTTGTGGAAGTTGTCATTTCTATATCACCACAAAATTTGCTGTTGTTATTGACATGGAAGTACTGTCAGAACGCGGAGTATATCAACTATGCATGATATGTAATTTGTATTCCTCGCCAAGATTTCATACACAATACATGCTCATGAAAATGATCAACACACTCACTTTACTATAAACATTGTCATGGCTCCATTTGCGCACAACACTAAAACACTTGGTGTCTGCCAGAACTTTGTGATTAATAAAATGTTTATATTATGCAAAGTGGTGTTCTGGTACTAAAGGCACATTTTCACTGTGGAATTCTCGTTTCCAGAGGTAATGTTGAAATCTGCCTCGTAATAAAATCTCATGCAGAAGTTGGTGGTGTGTCTTTTATGTGGTTGTTAAAACATGCATGAAATGAAAGGAAAATTAAAAACGGTTTCGTTCAAAACTAAAATTTTTAGACCATTTAAGGATTTTTTGATTCATTGTTTGATTCATTTGATTAATTAATTATCATGAGCATACTGTCACATCACTTAATGAAATAAAATCTCATATGCATTATGCTATATATATATATATATATATAATTTATATTATTATTTTATTATCAATTATTTACGTTTTCAGTTATTTTAATTTAAAAATATAAAAGTAAATATTATAACTGTATGTATATATATATATAGAGAGAGAGAGAGAGAGAGAGAGAGATAGTATTATGGTGAGAAATAATAATTTTTCCAAAAATTAAACATCAGGAGG